TTGACTAAATTCCTTGTCCAACTCAAATTTAAAATTAAATTATATGAGAATTGCTCTCATGTAAATTAGTTGTCTTGACTGATCTAAATATAACTTAGATAATTGTTGAAAAATATTTAAAAATAAAATTTTAAAAAATATTAAAAGAAAAAAAAGGAGGAAAATAAAAAAACCGATATAAAAAAAAAGAAAAAGGACTTCATTATACATATAAATATATACAGTGAAGCTACATTATGTTTCCAAGTTTTTTTTTTTAGTATAACTGAGTTGTAGCTATGAGGAACCTTCATTGATAACCTCGTGAGTATATTTTTCTTTATTGATTTTTTTTTAAGAAAAACCTAGATTGATTCCTAGATTTATTTGAAAAATAGCATGGTTGGAGATATTTTTTTTTCAAAAACTAGCATATTTTGAAAGGCTGCTTAATTTTCAGTGGCATAATAATAATAATAATAAAAGTTGCGCCAACCCTAGAGGTGCAACAAAATATTTTTTGGAAGGTTGCATAATTCAGAGTGGCCAAATTTTTTTTAAAAAAATTATTTTAATATATTTTTTTTTAAATTTTATTGTTTTTAATATTATGTTGATTAATATTTGAGGTTGTAGTTGTTCAGGTTAAAAAGGGTTGTTAGCATCGAGTGAGTTGGTATTTGATTTCCAATTTTTTATTTTTATTATTTGCAATATATTAAAAACAAAGGAATCAAAATTTAAACAAATAATAAATGAGGTTAAATAATAATAAAGGTTGTAGTCTCCCTTTTGTTTTTTTTTAAAAACCATGGTGTCAACTATGTTTTTTTTTTTATAATTATATTTTTTATAATTTTATCATTTAATATTATATTAATTTAAATTTAAGGTTAATAATTTATTTATGTTTATTTTTTATGTAGTTGTCTTGATTTAAAAAAACTTCATATTAAGTTGGTGCTGGATTTCACAAAAAGCAATTTAATTTTATTGTTTGAAAAAGATTGATAATAAAAGGATCTAATTGCGGGGGATTCAAAATATTCAGAGTTATGAGTCAAGATTTATTAAATAAATTTTAGGGTGTGATTTTATATAAATTTTAACAGTTATTATAAAAGAAAATAAGTCAGGAATCTGCAGGCACCTAACAATGCACAAAGCCCTCCTCAATCCAATTCGTTTGAGATGGGTGTGATAGTTGGTGATGATATTTTACCTTATTCCTTCTCCATTCATATCGATTTGGGTTTTTCCGCACCATGTTTTGATCTTCCTCTTCCTCGTCAGGAATTCCCAGCAAATCCTCGACTCCTTGAATACAATGAGATTCCACAACTGGCGAGTCTTTTACTCTACCTCCTCTTATGAAGACCATGGAATTTCCCTGCAAATTATGACCTTCGCCTGGGATGTCATCAAATAAATTAGTTGAGCCAGGTTTTTTCGGAGTTCTCATTGAAACACGCAGGTATGATGATTCTGTATTTGCCTGATCAGGCTTCCTATCGGCAGGTGATACCGGTGAAGTTACAGTTCATAGCTAAACCTCGAAGCTTGCTCTCAGCACTCGCAATACTAGCGAGAAGCTTCCCATAGGATTGTCGATTGAAGTCGTCGTTATAATGCAGAGGAAAAGCCCACAAAACAGGTTTAATAAAATAATATTGCATAAATTCGATTCTGTGGGAATGCAGCCCCTTGAAAGGATCACTAACGAAATACCATATCTAGAAGCCCTGAAATTTAACAAATAAGGAATTTTGATGGTGGGATCTTGGATGGAGTTCGGCGGTATTTTAAGAGGTAAGTTAACGCATTAATTAGCCAAAGAATCATCTATGCCCCCGCAGAGATGAGTCGACCTCTTACCTGGAGGGTTTTTTCTTTCTGTTTTTTTTTAATTGTAAGTGATACGCAATAAATTGTAAGATATAATTTATATTTTTTTAATAAATAAAATTTTAAGATATGATTTATATTATTTTTTTAAATTTTTTTTAGATTTGAAACTTACACAGTTCACAAGGTAATTTTTATTAAATAAATAAAGATAGTGAGATTCAAACTTATAATCACTTAATCATTAAGGATAAACTCATAATCACTTAATCATTAAAAATTTGATATAATGTCAAAAAATCATTTCAATCTAATAATTTAAACTATTAAATAAGATTTTAATATATAATTGAGTCGACCTCTTACCTGGAGGGTTTTTCCTCTGTTTCTTTTAATTGTAAGTGATACGCGATAAATTTTAAAATATAATTTATATTATTTTATAACAATTCTCTCCATTTCAATCTAATAATTTAAACTATTAAATAAAATTTTAATATATAATTTATATTATTTTATAACAGTTCTCTTACGAAATCATAACAAAAAAAGAAGAAGCCCTTTTCCTTTTTTTTATAATATCAAGTTAAGCTCCAGAACTGGACGAGTAAAAGAAACGAGAGCCAAAGAGAGAATAAAAGCTTGCTAAACCAAGAACATAAGGAATAAGGCTCTGATTGATGGGATTCCAGAGGCAACACAACGAGATTTCCATGGGAATGGGTAAAATAACTTGTAAATAAACTGTTGTTTAATACAAAAACAAATAAATAATTGGTTTAGAACCGTGAAAACAATATTTTTAAGATATTTATTTACCCAACGCATGGATAAGATCAACTAAAATTTCTAAACCCTAAAATAATAATAATAATAAATAAAAAAAAGTAAGTGTTTTTTCGTACATGAATTCTCCCCAGGTAGTAGATAAGCATGCTCAAAACCTGGTAATCACTTAAGAATGGTATACTGAAATCACCCTTGCAATCAATAAGAATTTCAAACTAATTTATGAAACTTTAGTTGATTTAAATTGCACCATGGACTGAGATTTCACTAAACTGACTTAAAGAACAAATATAACTGACTGAAATGGTCACTTAATTGCCAAATCAAGGACGTTGACTGTGTTGAAAGACTATAGGCAACGACCATTTTGTCATGGATAAGCAAGATACAACAACGCACCTAAATGAATTGAATCAGAAAAGCATGGATGGCCAATTAATAAAGCAATAAAAAGAAGAAAAGGTTGGGCCAAAAATTTGTAAAATCTTGCCATTTTTTACTTTTTAAACTTTTTTATGTTAATTTATTTTTAAAAAATAAATCAATAAAAAATACTTTTCAATAAAATTTTTAAATCAATAAAAAATACTTTTCAATAAAAACAATTTAGCTTTATTTATACAAAAGTGTTTTTTTCCTTTTATTTTAAGAGGAATATACTTCTTAGAAATTATACAAAATTCAAAAATATTTAGTAATTTATTGATTATATTAAATTTAATTTTTAATATTCTGATTGTTATATATTTTGTTTTTTTTTTTAATTTTATTCATTATAAATTGATATAATTTGATTTTTATATCAACTTTAATTTTTTATTTATTTTTATTTTATTCATTATAAATTGATATAATTTAATTTTTATATCAACTTTATTTATTTATTTATTTATTATTTATTATCTTTTTATTATGAATTTTTTTATTAATTAAACTTGATCTCTATTTTCGTGATTGTTATTTATTTTATTTAAAATACTTTATAAAATAATTTTTTTATAATTTCATTATTTCAACTTTTTTATCAGTTAAATTTAACTCTCATTTTTCTGATTGTTATTTATCTCATTTAAAATAATTTATAAAATAATTTTTTTTAAATTCCTCTTTTAATTTTTTGATATCAATCCTTTTAACAAATTTTAAAAAATAAAATATTAATAAGTTATATTTTAGTTTATTTTTAATAGAATAGTTAAACATTGCAAATAATTTTTCAATTCATTTTCTATGAAAATACTAAATATTAAAAAATAATTTATTTTTTAAAAAATTTATTTTTTATAAAAACTATTTCCCAAAAAAACAGCCAACCAATATCTTTTTCAGAAATGCTTGAACAACTATTCAAACCAAAAATCGGAATTCCCTGTTGATTCGCTACCACGCCCTCTTCATGTAATAAAACCTGCAATTCCACAATCTCGTTCCTCGAAGTGCACACTTCACAAGAAATGGTGGACGTTGAAGTACACATAAAATCCAACCATACAACGAGGAGAAAAATATTACTGACTATCTGCCATATGAAAAAGGTAAGAAATACACGCGACCACAGACTTGGAATTGACTGCATTGCAATGACCTCACAGTATTTACACCAAGTATTTCTTAAGAACAGAAGATAGGTATGCTCAAAACCCATCTTTATAACTGTTGATGACTCCAGTTTTTCCACTATGCACTCCTTGTGGTACCGCCACACTTTTCGTTTTTTTGTTTTTTTCTTCTAACTGTTGAAGACAATGGCATTCGAAAAAGAATCAAAAGATTCACCCTACTATTATTGTTTCAACATGTGGTTAAGAACAATGTCATCCTAAAAATAATAGTATCAGCTATCAGGTGCCGGGAAAAAACAAAGAAGAGAAAAAGCTATGCAAAGAGCCTACTCCCCACTTCATAGCATAGAATTTTTCAGGAACTAAGTTAACTTGAATAACTTCTCACTTGAGAAATATCATTTGCAGATTTGAAAGGCAAACACGCTCAAACCAGCAATAATTGAGTTTACAAAAGCTAAGACTATAAACAAGATGCTGGCAGGGTTTTCTGGGTTGGGAAGACATGATTTTGCTAATAATATCATAGAACCCTACAACTTTGGATGTCTCTTAAGACAACCTTTTATATACCAGTTTGTCCAAATCAATGCCAATCGATTTACATATTTATGATAAAAGAAAAATAACTTTTGTTATGAAAGTTTTGCTCAAAAGGTTGAATGAAGAGAAACAGAAGAAGTGCAATGCATTTTTTACCTTTTTGAGTGAAGATTGCTATAGCTAAGTCAGGGAAAAAAGAAGAACAAGTGAACAACTATTGCCCTTAAATAATGCTTAACATACTCAATAATATCATTGCCTAAATAAAAAATTTGAGCTGCAAAGAAAAAGGCTTGGGTGTTTCTATTTGATGTTTGCTTACAGTCACGTGAACTTACAAGTAGATACTGACCATTGTCCTCCAAACAGTCTATATAACAGATGTGTTACTGAAGGAGTTATCACTATTGTTAGAGTGCTTTCATATTCATAAGGATTCCCAATTGCGAAGCAGCTTTGATCCACATGTAATTCCCTACAAGTACCAAGAGCAACAGGCTTCAATTCATATCCTTCAACATTAGCCTGCAGGTGACAGTACAGTAAGCATTTCCAAACCTTGCTGCATTACAAGTCACATTGTGATTATGAAAATTAACTTAGAAATAAAAATAACTAAATATACATATTTTTTACGATGACCAAAAAGAAGGGTTATGCAAAAGAGCTTTGTTGAAGAACAGAATCAGAGCATGAATAGGAGGAATTGGTGAAGACATCAACATAATAGTAAAAAGTAATAGACATGTCAAAGTCAAAGATCACAAAGGCCTTCACAAAGTATCCATTTGAAACTCATGCTAAACCCCACTTGGAGTGCTGAGGAACGAGTTTTCAGTATACACAAAGGCGAATAAAGCTAATTTATAATAGCATGTACATCTTAGGGACTTTGTGGAATCATTTTTTATTGAACTTCTATCTTGTCCCAATCCACCTAAATCGCCATGAAGTTAAGATTCCATGAGAGCTAGGGTTTTCATTATAACAGAGTATGCAGGAAAAATAAACAAAGTCTATAATATCAGAAGCCACCCAGTAGAGAATCTCATGACGTGTAATAACTCATCTCATCCTGTAAAGCACTAGTATATAGATCAGTCCATTAACAAAGTTGACGTTTTCAACAAACAGTTTCATCTTCGATAATTTTTGAACTGAACAGGATGCTCCATCATCTGTCCAATAAATTCCACCTTTTTAAGGAAGTTACTGTCTTTCCTACTGGTATCCGATCAATGGAAGAAATGAACTTTTAAGATCTAGAATTAGGACTATGTGTTAGAAAATTAATTAACAGATAAGTACTCTCTTCACTTAGTTTTATATGAATGCTATAAGTACTCTCTTCACTTAGTTTTATATGAATACTCTCCTTCCTTGAATGCTACAGTCACCAGAATGCCCAAGTTTACTTAAGTTGTCCTGTGCATTGTGTATTCAGATTTTATCTCAATGACACAATATACTTAAAGCTCATAGTGACATCAAGCAGGTCCTAGATGATAAGGTAGTTTATGCAACTAGCCCTGACATCGCTAGGTTGATTGCAACTTTTTCCGATGATGTCATCATGCTAAAGTATAACAAAATGTACTCTGCATATATCAAGAACAAGTCAAAATATGCTGTCCATAAGTTTGATCTGATACCTTAAGGACAGCCAGATAATAAGATGGAACAGAACCAATGATCTTGCCTTCCCTGTACAAGCTATTGCCTCCAGCATAAACTAGAAATACCTGTGGGATAAGAGACCAGCAAAACAATTTAAATCAGATGATGGCCACTGACTTGACCTCTCAGAAGTAGTATTTCAGCTACATCATCGAGGGAGGTGGGGTGGGGGAAGACCTTACAGTGCCTGTAAATCTGCTTCTATCTGTGGCCAGCACAATCCAAGCATGCGTAAGATTATATATGTCAAAAGATGAAAGAAGACGGATAGACACTGTAAGGCATGATGATAATTAAATTTGAAATATGCACTGATCAGAAAAGCACTTTCTTTTTTAATCATTTCTTTCACCAAGCAAACTTGTAAACCAGGAAGAGATCACATGTAATAGCTGGAGATAAGTTTTAAAGTTTAATAGCATAAGAGAATAAAAGCATACAACGTGACCACACTTATCCCAGATGAAGCCCGGATCTGTTACTTCAACTTCAGCATTCTCATCCTCTGTGAGCGTAACATGACCATAGGACTGTTGGGGACTTCAGCTAACTCAAGGTCCTTGCTAAAAACAACTAACTTGAACATTTCACAGAAAATGTCACTCGTACGAACATAAACAAATAATGATACCAAAACGACAGAAGGAAAAGTTCTCAGGTCCATAATCGATGCGATACTAGCATTCCCATACAACTAAAACGCAACAAACAGTCTATCCTTTAAGAGAAAACACATCAAACACATGTAAAGCATGGCCATTTGTGTTTTATACATCATATAATATCGGTTCTGCTTCTGCAATATAAATAAATACTTATGAAAAGGGATGCATTACACAAGAAATTGTTAAATTGTCCAAACTACTTGACCCAGTTGTTATTAATCATCCAACAAGCTAAGTGGGTCCTTAATTAGCGCATCTAAAACAAAATTAATCTCCTAATCGATGATTCAAGTTCGAAGCTGAAATGGGCGTTGCGTGGCGTGTGCGATAGAGAGAGAAACCTGGAAAAGGTGAGTGACTTTATCTTCTTCTTGCTGAAATTTATCTTGTTGTTTGGAAACAGCAGAAAACTGAACCGAACACCGCCATGTCAGAGGCCTTTGCTCTCCAACTGTTAACTGTGTTCTTCGACAGCTAATTGGTAATAAGGAAATTTTTTTTTTTTAAAAAATTAGTATTAGATTTTTCAAACTATATATATATTTAAATAAAAAAATTTATACATATATTTAATTAAATAAATTAAAACTTATATTTATTAATAAATAAAAAATATTAATAATAACTAAATATATAATTAAAAAATTAAACAACAAAAATGAATCAAAATATTTAATTTTATAATACAATTTATTCACTCAATTACATTCGATAACTTGATTTATTAAAATTATTATTATTTTTAATTAAATAATAATAAAAATAAATATAAATGAGTAAAAAATATTTTAGAAATATTTTCAAAAATAAATATTATTTATATTTAAAAATAAAATTGAATTATATGAAAGATAAAATATAAACAAATTAAAATAATTTTCTTAAAAATTAAATACAGATAAAAATAATTAAAAAACAACTATTATTAAAAAAAAACAACATTATTTTCAATATAATGCTGTGACATCCAAACTGGCGCATTTTATATTGGGGGGGAAAATGTGCGGGGTCATGGAGAATTTTTGTAGGGTTATAATTGTGAATTTGAAAAAATCAAAATAAAAATTAGAAGAAGAAGAAAATGAAAAATAAAAAAAAGTCAGTTCACTTTTAATTTGATCTCAGATTAGAACCCTAAAAACTGGAGAAGATGGTGAAGTGACAAGTCAAATAAATAAGAGAATCAAAAGACAAGCCTTCCTTTTTTATCCCTCCGAATCAATTCAAATTTAAAAAGAGCAAATGAATCCCAAGAAAATGGCGTACAACAACTTCTTCTCCTCTCTGAGACAGGTAAAATATTATATTATAATTACAGAAAAACATTACATATTTGACATCTAACAACAGCGTAAAGCAGTAATCTTTGTGGTCATCCTATGTTTTTCTTTTTTGCAGGTTGAGAAAAGATTGAAGGTTGAAAACCCAACAACAGTGGAAACTAACTGCGAAGAATCTCTGAGCACACCATTATATCTCCACACAGATCAAGAACCCATTAACAACAACAGCTTGACATCTTCTAATGAAGAAAGCAGTGAACCCCCACTAGCATTTCTCTCACCTTCTTTACAGTCATCTACAAAAACCTCTCCCTTTTACCCCCAAATCATCAAAGAATCCAAAACCAATGACATTGATGATATTCAAAACTTAATTCAGCTTTTGGGTTTATCAGATATTAGAGAGAGAAAACAAAGACACCAAGAAGAAGACGATGTCAATGAGAGGGTTTGTGTTGGTGGTGGGGAGTTTTGTGGATGTGAAGGTGGGTTTTTTGAAAAGATTGTTGGAGTTAAAGGGCCTAAGTGTGAGAAGGAAGTGGAGAGATTGGAGGGGTGGATTAGGTACTTTTTAGGTGATGGTGGAGACGAGGGGAGGGAGCCTTTGATGCTGGCTTTTTTGCTTTTGGGTAAGGCTGCTTATGAGCTAGAGGTTGTTGATGGTGGCGGCTTGGATTTCCCTTCTACTGTTGAAGAGTTTTTGAAGTTTGATCCCCCAGAAGAATAAAGATTGAAGCTTTTTTGTTTTTCCTTTGTAAGTTGAGTTTATTACCAAAATATGAATGGTATTTGCAACCTGTAGCCCCTAGGCGAGGTTTGTCATTAATGGTAATGGTGGATTTTTTGTCATGGAGTAATTTAATTCCATGAGAATGTTTATCTTTCCTGGTTGTCGTTGATCATGTATTTCTTTGCTATATGTGTTTGGTTTTGTGTGCTCAGTTTTGCTTTCAGAATTTGATAGTATATAACTGATGTTTTGAAATACTGAACTGTCGACAACCTTTGTGTATGTACGTAGTTTTTAAACAGTGATTTTCATTGTTTTAACTTTTTTAGAATTTTAAAAATATTTTTGAAAAAATTAAAAAATTTATTTTAATTTTTTTGTTTCAAATTATTTTTTTTTTAATTTTTTAATTTTTTTGTTTCAAATTAATTTTTTTTAATTTTTTAATGTGTTAATATAAAAATATTTTTTAAAATAAAAAAATATTATTTTAATATATTTTTAAATAAAAAATATTTTAAAAAATAATTTCATATTCCACACATATATTATAATGCACTGATCTCTGGACTTTGCCAATATAATATTTTTCAGTGGAAAATAATACTACGAGAGCTTCTAAGTTGGCTGCTAGAGTTGTAGATCACGAATTTGTTCCTAGATGAAATTGTCAACTGGAAATTGCTAAACCTTGATTTTTTGTGTCATTATAACAGAACAATGTATTTCGATATTGTTAAGAACACGATTACACACTATCGATTCTCGACATAGTGGAAGCATTTGCTGTGAAATTGAGTCTCCAGTCTGCCTTTCTTCTTTAATATGCAGCCGACAATTTGTTTCTGTATCATGCTGCATGCTTGAGTGAGATCACCACCAATTTCGATTATCTTGCACTTATCTTCTGAAGGTAAGACAACACCTCATTCATGTTAGGTCTATCCTCAGGATTTGGATTGGTGCAAGAAAAGGCTATTTGAAAGAGCTGCTCCAATGCTCCTTCCTCCTTGGTGAGATTCTTGGTAATCACTGGGTCCAGTACTTGAAGAAGTCCATCGATGCCATTGGCGAGGGCCCTTTCGACTAGTTGACGCAAGCTGATTGGCAATCCATCCTTGTCTGTGAGTCCTGTTGGCCTCCGTTTCATGAGGACCTCCATTACTACAATCCCAAAGCTGAAGACATCTACTTTAGTCGTCACTCTCCTCATGTATGCAAACTCTGTGAGACCATCAAGCAAGTTGTAGTGAAGTCAGGAACATATAAAAAAGTAAAATGAATAAAAAGAAGAAAAGAATATATGAGATGGAAGATATGCAAAACGTGAAACTGAAAATGGAAAAATAAAGTTCATTACAAATGACAAAGTAACATGTTTATTAAGATAATCTGTGAAATGGGATGAGCAAGGCAATGATTGATTTAAATGCTATACTTATTCGTCCAACCATTTATTAACTTGACATTTATCAGAAACTTCTATGAACGCCCAAGAAAAGACAAGGTAATGGAGAATGAAAGGTTACCTGGTGCCATATAGCCAATGGTGCCTTCAAAGGCTGATGCTGAGGAGAGACCGTTCCCATCCTGCAGGTGAACGCCCAGAATTCGAGCTGTTCCAAAGTCGCTCACATGGGCCACCCAATCACCATCCAACAGCACGTTAGAGGGCTTCAAGTCACAGTGTACGATTGGAAAGTCATAGCCAGAATGCAAGTACTCTAAAGCACTTGCAATGGAAACACAAACATTGATTCTCTCATACAGTGTCCACCATGACTGATCAACCTGAGGGTTATGTATGATGCTCTCCAAGCTTCCATTCGGCATGTATTCCAAAACTAAAACCTTCAGTTTAGCACTCTCCCAGGCATAGCCAAGTACCTTAACCAGATTCCTATGCCTAAGTTGGCTCAACGTTTTGATTTCTCTGTAGAAGCACTTGTCAGATTCTGCAGAGAACTTCTGAAAATTCAGTTGCTTAACAGCTATAGTCTTGCCATCTTCCAATTGACCCTTGTATACAGTGCTCAAACTGCTGGCGCCGATTATGTTTTCTTCACTGAAGAAACTTGTAGCATTTTCCATTTCGTTCCTGTCATACCTAATGAGTTTCAGTGCTGAAGTGAACTCTGGCTCCATATTCTCGGTACTTGTTGTTTTATGCTTTTTGGCACGTTGGAGGAATAATGGAATCACCACGGAAAGAACTAAAAATATGGACACCACTCCAATTGCAAGGAGGATCAACACCGTCTTCTTGGAAAAGGTATGTGAATTCTTCTTGCTGCAGGACTTCAAAGATTTTGTTCCACACAGAGCAGGATTTCCAACCAAACTAGATGAGCTGATGTTTTTGAATAAACCAGACTCAGGGACGCGGCCTTCAAGATGATTGAAAGACAGGTTAAGATGCTTCAAGCTAGAAAGATTTCCAAAGCTATAAGGAATTATGCCCTCCAACTGATTTCTAGAAAGGTCCAGGGTGCTTAGATGCTTCAGTTCTGCCAACTTTTCGGGAATTGAGCTAGAGAGCTTGTTACCTGAAAGATCAAGAGAGAACAAATTTCTGCAGCCTGCAAGTGTTTTAGGAATGATTCCTGAAAGATTGTTGTTTGAAAGATCAATGGCCTGTACTGCTTCCAACATTCCAAGCTCTTGTGGAATGTTACCATCTAAGAGATTGTATGATAAATTTAGAAATATTTGCATGCTTTTCATCTTTCCCATCACAGTTCCAGGGATTGGCCCTGTAAGATGGTTGTGAGAGAGATCAAGAGACATTAGTCGAATGAGATGTTCCATACTCGTTGGAATAGACCCATTAAGTAGGTTTCCATGGAGATCCAAGGCCGAAAGCATTTCCAGTTTTGAGATAGAAGTAGAAATTGGACCCGTGAACCTGTTGAGCTCCAGCCGGAGAGCAGTTAGACGTGTCAGTTCAAAAATGTTCTCAGGTATTGGACCTTCTAAAGCATTGCTATGAAGGCCGAGCCCCTGGAGTACAGTAAGCTTGGATAACTCTGGTGGAATATGGCCTGAAAAGCTATTTCCAGAAAGTACTAAAAAGAAAAGTTGAGTCAAATTTCCAATCTCCGGTGGGATTGGCCCTACAAGTGAATTGAAGCCATATTTCAAAATCTGGAGATTGTAGAGTTTGCCAATGCCTGGTTTTAGCATTCCACTGAAATTGTTCTCTGCCAAGCTTAAGATTATAAGATTGGAGCAATTATAAAGGTCTTCTGGTATTTCCCCCGACATTTGATTTGGCCCAAGGGATAGCCTTGTTAGATTATACAACTGTCCCAGGCCCTGTGGAAGTTTCCCTGTTATTCTGTTAAAAGCTAAATCTATATACAAAAGTTGGGTACAATTGGTGATAGTTGTGGGTATGGATCCCTCCAGGAAGTTGGTGGGTAGGCTAAGGTTCTTCAGATTATAAAGCATTCCGATATTCGAAGGAATCTCTCCCGTGAGGAAATTGTAGCCTAAAGACAAGTACGTTAAATTTGTCAGGTTTGTTATGGAGGCAGGAATTTCCCCAGTGAAATTGTTTGAATGCAGAGTCAGCACCAGCAATGACCTCAAAGATCCTACTTCAGGAGCTATTCTTCCAGTTAGCATATTATTTGAGAGTCCTAAATTGGTTAACGATTTCAACTGGAACAAGGACAGTGGAATGGTTGAGTTTAGCCTATTTTTGTAGAGTCTCAGTTTCTCCAAATAGATCAAATTTCCTAGCTCTGGGGGGATTACTCCACTCAACTGATTACTGTACAATTCAAGTTCAACCAGCTTCTCACAACGGCCTAGTTCAGAAGGGATGTTCCCAGCAAGGGAATTCTCAAACAAGAGAAGAAATTCTAAGTTTGACAAGTTCCCTATTTCTCGAGGTATCATCCCAAACAAGTGGTTTTGACTTAGGTCTAAAGCTTGCAAAGCTTGCAACCTTCCGATGGAAACAGGTATTGAACCAATCAAGTTGTTCCCATAAGCTACAAAGAGTTGCAGGTTAACTAAGTTTCCTATTTTTTCTGGTATTGTGCCAGTCAGATTGTTGAAAATCACACCCAACTGCAGCAGGGAGGTGCAGTCGCAAAGGCTCTCAGGAATGCTTCCATTCAAATAATTGCCACCTAAATCTAGAGACTGCAAATTCTTAAGGTTTCCTAATTCTACAGGAATAGGACCCGAAAAGGAATTGTCATAAAGAACAAGTTCAATCAACTGTGAGCAAAGTCCCAGCTGAGGTGGAATGTGCCCTGTGAAAGAATTTGAAGTTAAATCAAGAACCTGGAGGCCTGAAATGTTGCCAATAAACGGAGATATCTCGCCTTGGAGCTGCATCCCACCAAGAGAAATCTCAATGACTTGATTCAAGGAATGGTCGCAGGCAACACCAGTCCAGTTGCAGTGATGGCTTGCTTCACTCCAGTCTGCAAGTGCTCCTGAAGGGTCGTGCTTGATGGCATTCTTGAAGGCCTTCAAGGCCTCAACTTCAGCTTCTATGCTTGGTTCTGCAGATTGAGCAGCAGTAAGCAGAACAGAACAAAAGATGAAAGTGTGTAAAACAAAAACATTTTGAGACACCATTGCTATAGAAATTAGCACTTGAAACTGATACGAAAGGTTTGAGCCAAATGAAGCTGTTATATACAGAAGGAAAATTATGACCCCACAGGCAATAACCAATAGGAAACCAAGTCTTCATTCTTCCCTAAAGAAACCAAACCTCCGCTCGATATCTTGATAGAATGTTCACATGCGAGGAAAATTTTGATACTTTGAACCTTAACTCAGTAGACGAGATTTTACTTTCAGCTTACTGAATTGTGACAGAAACGTTTACTATCCTATTCCTAGTACACCACCCTACCCCCCCGACTATAATCTATCCAGTTCAGCCCCCCTATTCTGCATAAATTTTGTTTAGAAATTATTCGATCACCTGCTCATTAGGATGAAAATATTTTTTTAATATAAAAAATATTTAAACCTTGTTAATTTAATATTTTCTAGTATATGTGTTTTTTTACTCATATAGTGATTAAAATTTTTTAACACATAAAATGATTAATATTATAGGATTGTTTTGATAGAATTATAAGTAATCTAAATCATTTATAAAAATATTTTTTATTAAAAAAATTTAAGGTGATTTTTTTTAATATTAAGACAATAATATAGTAGATTAATTTAGGTCAATCGTATTGACATGTTATATTCGTTATCTAGGTTATAAAACAATGATAATTTTATAAAAAATAAATCGAAACAAATTATAAAGTTCAACAATTTAATGTTAAAAAATAAAATTAAAAAATATATTAATTAAAAAAAAAATAACCTGAATAAACTCAAGTTATTTTTATCTACTAATTTGTAAACAAACTTATTTATCTGTATTTTTTTAAAAAAATTAAAATCAATAGAAAAACAGTCAAATAGCCAAAGGCATCATCACAATTGAGGAATTACACAATAACTTTTTATAAAACTGAAATTATATTAATTCTATGAAAGAGCTCGACAGAATATATATATATATAAAAACTCTTGCACTCAATGGTAGGCGTCCCTAGATATATATATATATATATATATAATTTTAGGGACGCCTACCATATATATAAAAACTCTTGCACTAAATGGTAGGCGCGTCCCTAAAATGATCAAATATGTATAACGATAAAACATGGTCCCATGGACGATGTATTTAAGTTACATGTAAACTCTACAAGTCTCATGTTTGAATTATTTTTCTCTGCCCAGATGGTGCTGCCATGCCTCTCCCTCGTGGAAATCCTTTTTCTTTTGGTTTTTTTGGTGAATTTAGGTGAGGGTATTATGGAGATTGGACGAGGGTTAACTTAGGGATTTCACAGTACGATATATGGTATTGATAGGATAACATTCTAAAAATGCAAGTTGCGAAAAACGGCGAAACCTGAAGGTCGGCTGTGCCCCAAGTTGACGGAAAGCGGTCAAAAATACAGCGGGGATCTATAGGATAGAAGAACACAGATTTCATATTCTCTGCACGCGTTTGTGGGTTCAACCTCCCCCACTCAATTATTGTTGTTATTATTATTATTGAGAAAATCTTCACGGATTTGGTGATTTTACTTTGTATCCTCACATGAATAAAGTACTACTGACTAAAATGGCTATGTATTCTCTTTCTTCCTTGCAAATCGGGTTAAATGGAATTTAGTGCTTATAATATATCTTCAACAGCCACCTGTTTAGTGCTCATAATATATCTTGAATAATTACCTGTAGTGCTCTTAAAATATCAATAAAATGTTCCGACCTTGAATTATGCTGGAAAATTTTGTACAAGAATGTCGTTAATGGCCACATTCAATGTCAAATTAAACAGAATCCACTCATTTTTTATTAGAATTTAATCTTCAATATAAGTTTTTAACATAGAATATTAATATAATTTAAATAAATTATGATAAATAAAAAATTGATTTTAAATCATTCTTGATGATATATTTTGGTGAAAATCAAAACCCACTATAAGAACTTTATCCGATGTAGCAAAAAAAAATTTCTTACTGTTTATTAAGTGTAAAGTTGAAATTAAGTTTAAAGAGTAACTAAACTTTTAACAATAAAGAAATTTTTAAAAAAATAAGTTTTGATTTTAAACACAGGCTCGCCATCCTAGCCTAGCCCATGCTTGGGCTTTGAGCTTAAGTTTGAGTTTATTACGAAATAATAATTTGAGTTTCAAGATATTATTTTTTTTCAATTAAATTTTGGACTTGGATTTGACCCATAAATAATTATTTTTTCATGCCCATTATTTTATCTAGTTTAGCCCATGAATGTTAACACTTGAATATTATCTTTTAGAAGTATTTTTTTGCAATTTGAATAGTTTTTTAGCTAAAAAAATCATATTTATAGCAAAATATTCAAGTTTAATTCTTGATTTATGATGACTAATATAATATTTTCTAATTTTATTATCATAATTAATTCTTTAATCTTTTAGCTTTCAAAATTCATTGGGGGAGGGAGGGGAAGAGTTTCCTACAAGTTTTTCAAGATTCTTATGCACTCTATCTCATCTTATTTTTATTAGTGTTTTCCTTCTCTTTTTATGTTTTGATTTTTCTTTAAAATCTAAAATTTAATTTCACTTTGTGGAGAGGTAATTAAGTTCTTTACTTTAGTTCAAAGACCTTGTTTAGAAGACATTTAAACTAAGATGATGGTGTTGGAATCTTGGAAGGTTTATTGGAAACATTCTTTGTACTAAAAGAGAAAATGATTTATCATTGACAATAACAAAAGCTTTTTTATTTTAAAGTATTTTAACAAATAAGTATATTTATTTGCTCTTATTTTAAACTTAGATATTTTATATTATTAGTATGCATGTTAGAATTTTATTTTGATATAAATCACAAGTTTGGTATATGTTTAGTATGCATGGTAAAATCTTTTTATTTTTTACTTTTTTATTGATATTATGTTTTTCATGAGTTATGCTTTTATATACTTGTAGTTTTAAACATGTATAAACTCTAGTATTTACTTGAATAACTTTTGTTTAACATGCCTTTGTGGTGATAAACTAAATAATTTATGTAAATTATTTTGAAATATAAAATCTTAAGACTTTAGTTGCATGTTATTTGTTTAGCGAATATGTGTGCTTTTTAATGGTATGCTTCTCTGATTAAACAAAACTTTATTAGCATGATGCATGTAAAGATCTAAAACTATTTGTTTTATTTTATCTTACTTTGTTGAAAAAGTTCTTTGCATACTTTAATACATGTTATCTTTTGAAAGATTTTTTATTTTTATTTTTATATGTTTATCATGTTTTGCAAACTTGTTGGTATGATCATGCTATTTGTTTATCTAGCTTAATTTTTTTTTTAATGCATGTTAATATTTACATCATTTTGAACTACAATAAACAAAAGTGTTTATTTATTTTTAATCTTGCATGGTTTAAATATTTTTGTTGATGAAGTTACTTTATTACAAGCTTTTATTTTATATATTGCATGTTGTGAAGCCAAAATATTTTTTATAAATATTATAATTTATACATGAATTTACCTTCCTAACAACAACGCCAAAAACTTGACATGATCAAAGAGTTTGATGTCTTCTTCTAAGTATAGGAGTACCGAAGTAATAAATAACCCGACAAGATCGACATCGAACCACAAGAAAGTTAACTATATAAATTATAAATAATAATAATAATAATAATAAGTTAAAGAGGACTAAACAATGATAAAAATAAATGTCAAGGTTAAAGGATTCACTAATGGTATTAAAAATAAATGTAATATAAACTCCTTTTATTACTTAACTAGAAACCATACACAAAGGAGGTTCCAATCAGATGATTTGTTATTAATAGTTTATTATAAATTGTTAACATAATCATATTAATTGTCTTATTTAAGTAGTACCAAACTTTTAAATACTGTCAAAAATTCATGATGCTAACTTATTTTAACAACAAATCAAGTTCATTTCATAGTACAAATATAGGTTATATCATATAGTTGGTTATGAAAGTACCAAGCATTTACTGTACTAAGTGTTATATAATACAAATCTAGATTAATCATTTAACAAGCAAGGTATTGACACGACTAAAAAATTGATGTCTTCTCCCAAGTGCAGGAGTGTCGAAGTAATAAATAACCCGGCAAGACCGGGGTCGAACCACAGGGAGATTA